TGTAGCTCCTTGATCATTGTGATTTATGTTATTGGAGTTCCAACATTATAACAACATGTTCAGTAATCATTTTTTTCCATGACACAGAACTTTCAATGCAAAATAGCCCTTTCTTGTGTTCTGCATTATCTTATACATTATTATGTACTTTACTTATTTTAATTACCTTTCAGTTTGGCTTTCAGTGTTCTAACTTTATACAAACCATACATGATGGGTAAAGTGAATGAAAGCAATACGGCAGATATAAAAATCAAAGAAGTAAAACAACGGTCCACTCTGTTGTACAAAGTATCTGTCGGAAAAGGAAAGAAAATACAATATAAATTTTTTTTAAATACAGCACCATTATTTTTTAATAAATAGTATTAGATGTTTATCATAAAAATCACTACAGTCGTCTTTCTAAGTGAAGCTATGGGAATCTGGTCTATTGTTCAAATATTTCCACGTCTGACAAAAGTACTCAATTATGCTTTTTTTTATATATAAACTAGTCTTATAGTAACTGGACCAAAAGTCCATATCTTGTCTCAGTGTGGTTTCAATGAGAGATGTATGTTGTCTGTCTGAGATTTTTGTATGATCTTCGAGACGTGCATGCAATTGGCAAGACGTGGGTCAATTTTTGAGAAATGTACATATTTCATCTGTCTTCCAAATATAAGCGAAGATATATATTTTTAATTATACGTTTGTGGTGCCATCTGCTGGTCAAACACTGAATAGTTAAATTGTTAAAATAGAAATTTGCACTCATTTTATTTTCTTCCAAATGTCAAGATCTGCCCAGTGACAGAGTAACCAAACAAAATTTTCTAATGCCTTCAGTGATATCCGACAACTAATGACCTGCATCACGAACAACCTGATCATGACATCATTAGATCTTTAACAAGTACTTAAGGAGCTAAGTGGGGAAATAAGTGAACCTCTGTATTTAATTTTTCAAGATTCTTTTGTTTCAGGTATTGTACCGGAGGATTGGAAGAAGGCAGATGTTGTTCCTATATTTAAAAAGGGTTCAAAATCCTTGCCTGGAAATTATAGACCTGTGAGCTTAACTTCTGTGTCTAGGAAATTATTTGAACAGCTATTAAGGGTAATATTCAGGAATTAATTGGGAAGAACTGTGTTATTAGCAATAATCAGCATGGTTTTATGAAACATAGGTCATGTCAAACTAACCTAATTGCTTTCTATGAAGCGGTAAGTAGAAGTATAGGTCAAGGAGTTGCAGTGGATGTGATCTACTTGGATTTTGCCAAGGCATTTGATACGGTTCCTCCCAATAGGTTAGTCTCCAAACTAAAAGAAATTGGTCTAGATGAATATTCTTGTTCTTGGGTAGAACATTGGCTTAAGGATAGAGTACAACGAGTTGTAATTAATGGTAAATTTTCAGGCTGGACAAAAGTGGTAAGTGGTGTCCCTCAGGGTTCTGTTTTGGGACCGCTTCTATTTAGCATATTTATAAATGATCTTGAAATGGGCATTGAAAGCCATGTATCAGTGTTTGCAGATGACACAAAACTTTGTAAAGTAATAAAATGTGAGCAGGATATTGCCTTGCTGCAGAGGGATTTGGATAGATTGGGGGACTGGGCACTAAAATGGCAGATGAAATTTAACATGGAGAAATGCAAAGTTATGCACTTCGGGGTTAAGAATGCACAAGCAATTTACACCCTAAATGGTAGTGAACTAGGGATAACCACACACGAGAAGGATTTGGGAATTATTATAGACAACAAATTAGGCAGCAATATGCAATGTCAATCTGCCGTTGCTAAGGCCAGTAAGGTTTTGTCATGTATAAATAGGGGCAAAAATTCTCGAGATGAAAATATAATTTTGCCTCTTTATAAATCGCTGGTAAGACCACACCTTGAATATGCTGTGCAATTTTGGGCACCTGTTCTAAAGAAAGATATCATGGCACTAGAAAAAGTGCAGAGACGAGCTACAAAATTAATAAAAGGAATAGAGCATTTTAGTTATGAAGAAAGGTTACAAAATGTAAATCTCTTTAGTTTGGAAAAACGGCGCCTGAGAGGGGATATAACATTATACAAATATATTCGGGGCCAGTATAAACCATTATCTGGAAATCTATTCATAAACAGGGCTATACGTAGGACACGAGGTCACACATTTAGGCTTGAAGAAAGGAGATTTGATCTAAGGCAAAGAAAAGGTTTTTTTACAGTAAGAGCAATAAGGATATGGCATTCTTTGCCTGAAGAGGTGGTTTTGTCAGTCTATACAGATGTTTAAACTGCAATTGGATAAATACTTGCAAAAACATAACCTACAGGGATATAATTTCTAATTAGTGGGTGTTACGATTGCCCCCGGTCTAGCAGGGGGGTTGATCGCTTGGATGTCCTGGTTCCCGCTGCAGAGAGTCGAACGGAGGTCTTTCGGTAGTCGGCTGTAAGTGTAGAATATCCCCAAGCACGATATAAGCATCAATATCCCGGATCCCTACAACATGAGTCGAGGCTGCAAGTTGAGGGTCAAAACGAACTGGCTTTACTGGCACATAGCATGGCAATTTATGTGATTCCTCAGGTCCAAGGACAGCCCCCTGTGGACCTGATGGAATACAGGTACAGTACAAACAGGTAACCAATCACAGTACACTGTATTATTTGAATTAGTACCCGCCTAGCTTGGAGATAATGAGGCCAACGGTTTTACAATCTAATTATCTCCAAGCGCACAAAAGACCACGTTTTATTATGTCCCAGAAAACTACATAAAAATCCATAACTTGTACATTATTACAGGAAAACCATTCATTCCACCATTCATTTGAAGGCTCGCGTTCGTATAGATAAACCAGGCGAATGCCGCTCTAATCCCACGAACAGAATGTACTGTTTCTGCCGTATAAAGTCCGTTCGGCATTTTGAGATGTTAGTCTTTGTTGGCGGCCATGTTTTCTGCTGGTTTAGCGAGCAGCGGGACTTCGTGTCTAACTCGTGGAACTAAACTCGGTATCAGTTCCTGCGAAGTCCCGCTGTCGGGCTGGTAGTGGGCTCGTTCGGTAAGGGAATGAGGACCACCTGGGAGCAGGGTACTTGACCTGCGGTTAACCGCAGAAACCACAGTTAATGAGCGCCACGCGACCCGCTGTAGGGGGTCGTCGTTCGGTGGATCGTTCGGTATTTTCCCTTCGGCACTTTGGGTGCGAACGTCGATGCCCCCAGGCCTACCAATTACATTGTGGTTAACCGCAAACCGCAGCCATCTGGGTGGTTAATGGCTACCACACTCCGCGAGCCGGGGGGGTCGCCCGTTCGGTAGTTTGCGGGGTGACGGGGTTAAGTGGCGGCACACGCCAGTTTCTGGGGGGTCCCCCGTTCGTACCACGAATGGAGCCTCCATAAGGGTTCGTGTAATCCATTCGTGTGGTTTTCTGTTTAACTTATGCAGTGGCAAACAGTATCAATCAGTGAGTAAAAACAGCAACATAGTGATTTCCAGTCTTTTGTAACAATGCTCCCTCTTTGTGGAACACTCTGGCAGACACTGTCTGACCCCTTTTCGGGGCAGACTAAGGCTGTCCAGACTCGTGGGGTTATGCTGGGCTGAGATCTGTTTGCCGGGATAATCCGTCGGCGTTGCCGTTCTGCTTCCCAGGTCGGTAGGTGATTGTAAAATTAAAGGGTTGCAGGGATAAGCTCCAGCGTAACAATCTGCCATTGTCCCCAGCGACCCGGTTGAGCCACACCAGCGGGTTATGGTCTGTAACCAGAGTGAACTCTTGTCCATACAAATAGGGGGTTAACTTCTTTAATGCCCACACCAGAGCCAAACACTCCTTTTCTACCGCGGCATAGCTGACTTCGCGTGGTAGGAGTTTTCGACTGATGTAGGCAATCGGGTGTTCTTTCCCATCATCTCCTACTTGGCTGAGGACAGCTCCCAGCCCGAACATGGAAGCGTCTGTATGGACAATAAAACGTCGATTAGGGGCTGGGGCAGCCAAGACAGGAGCATTAATCAACGCAGTTTTGAGGGCTTGGAAAGCCGTTTCACAGTGGGGAGACCACAGGACCTGTCGGGGAAGGTTTTTCTTTGTCAGGTCGGTCAGGGGTTTGGCAATGGCGCTATACTCCGGTACAAATTTTCTGTAGTACCCAGCGGTGCCCAGAAAGGCTAGCACTTGGGTCTTAGTGTGGGGAGTGGGCCAGTTGGCGACCGCTTCTATTTTAGCTGGCTCTGGTCGTTGCTTCCCACAGCCTACCCGGTGCCCCAGGTACTGAACTTCAGCCATCCCAAAGTGGCATTTTTCGGGCTTTAGCGTCAGGCCGGCGGCTCGAATCTGGTCTAGGACCATTCCCACATGAGCCAAGTGTTCCTCCCAGGATTCACTGTGGATCGCTATGTCGTCCAGATATGCGCAGGCAAACTCCTGGAAGCCATCAAGGAGTCTGTCCACCAAGCGCTGGAAGGTAGCGGGGGCATTCTTCATCCCGAACGGCATGACCTTAAAGTGGTACAGACCGAACGGGGTGACGAAGGCCGACTTGGGGACAGCCTCCCTGGCCAGGGGGATTTGCCAGTAACCTTTACAGAGGTCAATGGTAGTTAGGTAGTTCCCCCTGGCTATGCAATCCAACAGCTCATCCACTCTGGGCATGGGGTAGGCATCGGTGACCGTTTTGTCATTGAGTTTCCGGTAGTCCACACAGAACCTGGTGGTGCCGTCCTTTTTGGGAACCAGCACCACCGGGGATGCCCAGGGACTATCGGAAGCTTCAATGACCCCTAGTCGCAGCATCTC